TTCACGGCGAAACATATGTCTGGTCTAGTGTGACTAGCCAGGTACATTAACGCTCCTACAGCACTGAGGTATGGCTTTTCAGGACCAAGGATTTCTTCATCATCCTTTTTGGGACCAAGAGGGTCATCACTTAAGCTTCTAACTACCATTGGGCTGGTCAATGGGTGAGCTTGGTCCATATTAAATCGCTTGAGTACCTTTTTGATATAAGCCGATTGATGCACAAGGATTCCTCCTTTGATGTACTCAAGTTGTAATCCCAAACAGTACTTTGTTTTGCCTAGGTCTTTCATTTCGAATTCTGCTTTTAAGCAGTCGACTGTTTGGGAGATCTCACCAGATGTTCCGAGGATGTTTAGATCATCCACGTATACTGCTATGATTACAAATCCTTTGTTTGAGTACTTCTTGATGAAGATGCATGGACTGATGGGGTCATTTTTGTAGCCTTCTTTGATGAGGTAATCGCTGAGGCGGTTGTACCACATACGCCCACTTTGTTTCAGTCCATACAAGGATTTGTTCAGCCTGATGCAGTATTGATCTCGAGATGCATTTTTGTCTTTTAGTTCAATGCCATCTGGGAGTCTCATATATATTTCGTTGTCCAGGGGCCCATAGAGATATGCGGTTACAACATCCATTAACCGCAGATCAAGATTTTCTCTTATGGCCAGACTTATGAGGAATCGGAATGTTGTTGCATCCACCACTGGAGAATAAGTCTCCTCATAATCGATTCCGGGTCTCTGTGAGAATCCTTGTGCTACAAGTCGTGCTTTGTATCGAACGACTTCACCGAGTTCGTTCCTTTTTGCGCACAAAGACCCATTTGTGGCCCACTGGCTTGATGTGTGATGGGGTCCGGATGATCGGACCGAACACGTTTCTGAGTTTGAGACTCTTTAACTCCACGTTTATGGCTTCTTTCCATTTTAGCCAATCTGTTCGATGTGTACACTGTGTTATTGACGTGGGTTCTAGATCCTCTTGCGTGAGCGCAACATCAAGTGCTACTTTGTATGCAAATAGTGCATTTAAGTCGACTTCTTTTCGATTCCATTGTATTCCGGACATATTGTAATTGATGTAGATCTCATTGTTATCTTCTGAACCTGGAGATTCGGCGTCCCGAACTTCCATTGAGGGTTCATTAGATTGAGTCTCAGCCGCGGCTATGTCTGATATTGCAGGAATCCCGGTTTCGGTTATTGCACCTTTCTTTGATTTCCGGGGATTCTTATCTTTGGAACCGAGAGGTCTGCCCCGTTTGAGACGTGGTGCAGACTCTGTAGCAACTTGGGTCTGTCCCGTTGGGACAGCTATTCGTACTGGTGCATTACAAGCTGGGATGTACGATTTGGTTACTTTGGTCGGGTCAGCAAAGGAATCTGGCAATTGATTAGCTAGCTTTTGATAATGAATTATCTTTTGGATCTCTGAATCACATTCTAGAGTCCGAGGATCTTGCCAATTTAATGATGTTTGATTCCATGAAAGATCTTTGACCAGCTTGTTTGTCTCACCACCTGAAGAGGGATATACCGATTCATCGAATTGGCAATCTGCATATCTGGCCTTGAAGAGATCTCCAGTGGTTGGCTCGAGATATCTTATGATGGTGGGAGAGTCAAAACCAACATATATTCCCATCCTTCTTTGAGGTCCCATTTTGGTTCGATGTGGTGGAGCAATGGGTACATATACTGAACACCCAAATGTTTTGAGATGGGAGATGTCTGGCTCATGACCCGAGAGTAGTTGGGATGGGGAATATTTGTGTTCACTAGATGGTCGGATGCGTATGAGTTCAGCAGCATGTAATACTGCATGTCCCCATGATGAGGCCGGGAGCTTTGATCTCATGAGTAATGGTCGGGCTATCCATTGAATGCGTTTAATGAATGATTCAGCCAATCCATTTTGAGTATGGACATGTGCTACAGGATGTTCCACGGTTACCCCCATGGCCATACAGTAGTCATTAAACGCTTGTGAGGTAAATTCACCAGCATTGTCAAGGCGGATAGTCTTTAGTGGGAAGTCAGGGAAATGGGCCCGCAATTTTATGATTTGGGCCAAGAACCTAGCGAAGACTTGGTTCCGAGAGGACAAGAGACAAACATATGACCAACGGGTCGATGCGTCTATAAGGACCATGAAGTACCGGAATGGTCCGGAAGATGGATGTATAGGTCCACAGATATCGCCCTGGATTCTTTCTAGGAAATGAAGTGTTTGTTTAGAGATTTTAACTGGTGAAGGCCGAGTGATCAATTTGCCTTGAGAACAAGCTGTGCACATGAGGTGTTGAGGATAAGCTCGGTTTTCTTTGAGAGTATGCCCTTGAGAGTTTTGAATTAGTTTACGCATCATATTTGCACCGGGATGACCGAGCCGGTCGTGCCAAATAGTATAATCAGTAAACCGGGCTTTGAGAGTGGTATTAGCTTCAATCATACTGACTTTAGCATGGTAAAGTCCAGTAGAGAGCGCGGGTATGGTTTCGAGGATTTGTTTATGGCCGTCTACGGTTTTAGTGACTAGGAGGGATTCTTTGTTCCTTTGACCTTGGGTTTCTATGTGGAAACCATTCTGTCTTATATCCTTGAAGCTCAGAAGATTTCTCTTCGAACTAGGAGAATATAGAGCATCTGGTATTTCAAGTTGTGTGCCATTTGATAGCAACACATAGGCATGGCCATATCCTTCGATAAGGTTTGAGGGACCCGCGATGGTGCTAATATTTGCGGTTTGATAGGTTAGGTTTATGAAGTAACTTTTGTTTCTTAAGATAGTGTGGCTGGATCCACTATCTACGACTATGGTTTCCATTTGCTTTTCCACCTTTGGATTTCTGAGAGGCTAATGAAACTGGGAGCTAATAGACCTCAGTTAGCCGCTACAAATTCCAAGGATTGATCACCAAAACTGGAGAAGCTGCTGGTTGAAGAAGGAAAAACTCGGATCTGGTTTTTTTTTTTTTTCGGTTGATCGTCGTGTACTGTAAGTGTGCGTGAGGGCGCGTCCGACGTTGGATCGACAAACGGTTTTCACCAGTAGATTCGTCTCGTCGAGGGCTTCGATTTGATATGTAGATCGTCTTCTGGTTCCTCACGGTTTGGAAGATATGCGTCTTTTAAGTTTCGACTTGCTTTTAGGGTTTTGGTGGTGGCCGGATTTATTAGGGTTTTTCGCTCAGAGAGTCTTATCGTGCTGATAACGTGTTGTGAAAACTTCGAAACTTTATTAATCACTGGAATGTATATATAGAGTACATAGGGAATCTAGGTTAAGTACAATGCCCTGATGGGCCTAATGAACCGGTATAAGAGTCCATATATGATATGTGTTATAACAGTTTTTGTTTTCTTTTGAATATGATTCTTTTTAATATAAACGCAAATTATAGATAAATAAATGGGATATGAATAAAATGCATATGTATTAGGTATATGTTTTTTGTGATGTCTTTCCTCTTGAATATAGTATAATAATAATTTCTTTTATTTTTTTTAGCAAATTCATTTTTCTCTTGTGAAATATGTGGAATTTTTTTCTTCCTTTTTTAACTGTAAATAATAAAACAAAAAAATGCATAATTTCCACTTTATTTAACTTATAGTTGTATAGCCATTTGCATCCTTATATTAACTTTTGAAAGGAAAGTCACCTTGTACTATTTCTTTATCTTTCTCATAAAATCTATGAATTACTGAATGATTGAAATACTCCAAAGTTTTTAGTCCTCACTAAGTTAGATTCTTGCTTGCTTTTTCAGAAATTTCCTTGAGCAACATGAAATTGACGAGGCTAGGTTCCATCTATTATAATAATTTTCTTTTCCTTAGTCATATTTAGATCAAACTATATATTTGTCTAATTTTTGTTTTTAAATTTTTCAAAAGATTGATCTTGACTAGTCACTTGTAGTGCCCCTAAAATAATACTTCTCCGGGATCAAATCAACTCCATCGATAATTTGATAACAAGTCCATTAAGTTAGGAGAAGAAAATCATATACTAGCTATTTTTTATTTAATCGTTTAACGATATTTATAAGAACTATTCAATATATTTAGGCTGAACTTTTCAACGAATCACGACGTCATCAACACCAGAGAGGAGAAGAATGAAAAATCAAACATATATACTATATTATATATAGACATAGAAAACTGAAGATTCTTCTAACTGATTGCCAGTTATATTTTACATGTTTTCGATTCGAACAATATTTTATTGTGCCACGTAAATTATCCAAAACCCTATTAAAAAACCGATACACAATAAGAAAATATAAGTGAATGATTCCCCAAAATTAAAACGTGAATGAAATGAGATTTATCCAAAAATAAAGGAGAGTCGATCACGTGTCAAAACCAGGATTAATATTAAAGAAGTAGTGGATCACCTAACCCGGAACGGAAGAACTGGTCCAAAGTGTTCGGAGGAGGGTTTTAGGGCCAAAGCTAAAAAAACCGTTGGTTAGTTTTAACCCCACAAAAATGTCTTTCGAGAAAAATAAAACACAAGAAACGTTTTTAATTTATTGAAATATCAGACTAATTAGATGTTGACATGTGTTGTCAAAATTGAGTTCCAAATTTTCTGAAACTATGGAATTTTTTTCGTAAAGAATTTTTGTGGTTTCATGGGGTTTTTGTTCAGACACAAACCCAACTTTAAAGGCGGGTGTTTTACGGCTCACATCTTTCTATATATTGTGTTTCCCACAAAACGAATTCTAACATAAATCTCACTTTTCCTTCTCGCACAAAATTAATCGAAAGCGATTCAGAGAAACGAAAGAGACGATCAGGTTGGAATTATTGTATGTGATATATATACAATGTTTGTGTTGTTTTAGATTTGTTTTTTGCCTCACTAATGTTTTGTGTTCTAGGATCTGATTTTTGAATGTATTCTAATTAAAAGAATTGCGCAGGTCCAGGCTTAATTAACGTAAGCAATTTGTAGTGGCGTGTGTTTCAAGGACCATGTTGGACTGTGGTTTCGATGATTACCAACTTCCTATGGTTCCTAGGGCTTATAGAACACCCAGAGTGCGTATATATATATTCCAACAAATTTTCTTCTTCTTCCACAAGTTACATATACAATTGGCTCACTCGATTGCACCCTTCTTTTTTTCCAGGGTCGCAGGCACAAAATGATGAAAAGCCATAGATCCGAGTTCAAGTTTTTAGCCCAAGTGGCCGGAAAATTCTCAGGTGATTGCAAGCCCCATGAGACAAAGGAGACAAATGACGATTTCCTCGTCAATAACTTCTTGGAAACAATGGAAGTTAAGGACAAGCCTCAGCCTTGTCTGGATAAACCTTCTCAAGTGGTATTGTCTAAGGACTGGTTAGCTCTTGGCCCTTCCATTTCTAGCTCTCAAATCACACAAGAAGAAAACTCCAATATCGGTAATTAATTAAGATCAAGTCACTCGCTAGTTTTACTTGTACCGCAAACTTTTTTGACATAAAAGATTTAATTCTGTAAGTGTTTCTTTGGTATATATGTAGACGGGAAAAGAAAGACGTATTCCACGAAAGAGCGAGGTCGTAGTAGCCAAGAATCTCAGAATATGTATCCCTTGAAGAAAAGAAAGTTTTTTTACCAAAATCACCGACCTGAATCACGTGATGCTCCGTGTACCGGTATATTATAAGGATCATATCTTTTTGAGGTCAAATCTATGTGAATAACTTTTATTTACATATATCAGATTCGTTATTCTACTATTTTTTCAGTCAAATTTGGTATCAAGTCGTTGAAAATCTCGGAGCTATTGGTGGACATTCCCGAATCAGCCACGGTCGGATCACTCAAATTAGCGGTGTTGGAGGTGGTAACACAGATTCTTAAAGATGGACTAAACATTGGAGTGCTTCTTCGAGGTAAAACCATCGTTGATGACTCCAAAACGCTTCTTCAGATTGATGATGATGACAACAACCACAACCTCAGCTCTTTGGGGTTTATGCTAGAACCGCGGAAATCAGAAACAACAACAACGTTAGCCGCAGTTTCCCCCAAAAAGCGAATTAGGTACACAGTTAAAAACTATGAGTGCTTTTTATTCATCCATTAATGTGTTTTCTTTTTGTCTAAACATTACTCTAATAAAAATGTATATATAAATTAATACACATCTCCAAAAAAAAAAAAGTTTTTTAGTAACTTCTTTATGATTGCGGTAGGAAATGTAATATAATATCGTGATATATAGTTATTTATTTACTAAATTAGGGCTCCTGGGTCCATAGAGAGCACTGAAACGGTGGCAGCTAAATCAGTGGTTCCGGCATGCCTAAAACCGGCCTCGCAGCCAGAAATTGTTCAACGGAGAATCAGACGGCCATTCACTGTCTCAGAAGTAGAAGCATTGGTTCAGGCCGTAGAAATGCTCGGCACCGGAAGGTGATTCATTTTCTAACTCTAAATTTAAAGCCTTCATGATCTTAATATCATTGTTGAAAACTGCAATAAAAAATTTGTTTACATATTTGAATTGCACGTGCGTTATATTTTGATGCTTTTCAGGTGGCGCGACGTTAAGTCTCATGCATTTGACCATGCAAGTCATCGAACTTACGTTGACCTCAAGGTACATTTTAGAAGTAACAAGGATATACAAATAATATCAATAGTTTTTTTTTTCCTTTTAACATATCAATAGTTATATTTTTGATAAAATAAATAAATTAAGCATCTTTAATATATACTATATGTGTAATTTAAAACAGGATAAATGGAAAACGTTGGTTCACACGGCAAAGATATCAGCAAGGCAAAGGAGAGGCGAACCTGTGCCTCAAGAGCTCCTTGATAGGGTTTTAGCCGCTCACGCTTTCTGGACCGGATGAATAGAGAAACATATTAAACGCTCCTTTTTGGGTAGGAAATAGTTTTGATATACGATCCGGTTTTAGATTCTCTATTTAGAATTATTTGAGTTTAGGATTTTGATTTGTAACACACAAGATTGTTTTCCGTACTTTCTATCATTCCTAGTGGTAGATAATATATATGGATATAGTATAAGTGTATAACTACTCCACGAAAAGTGATTTAACCCGGAAAGTGTGGGTGCTTAATTAGTTACTATTTTGAGGTGGTAGGTTATAACTTCTAAGTCATAATAGATGATTAAACGCATGTAAGGTTGTGATTCAACACCCATAACATATATAGATAATTTATATTTTTATATTGATTGCTTTGAGTTTCGCCTTTTGGTCTATTGCATTACTTCAAATTTGGAATCTGTTGATGATATAAATAGACTTAACAAAAAGAGAAAATACAATTTAATTTTGATAATTAAATTGAATATATATGTACATAGATATAAGATAATCCAAAAGAAACATATATACTTTATTAATCCTCTTTCAAAACAACGCTGAATATTAGAAATCGAATCCGGTAGACTTCAAATAATCCTTTGAAGATGTGGTGAACGGGTGATTAAAAAATCTTCTATGAGACACTCAAAGAATTTGTAGCAACAAGGACAAGGAGGAAAGAGGTTTTGTGCAATCTTGCTATGTATCGCAACCTATGTTAGGAATATCTTAATGTTATGTATGCTTTTCTCTAATGAGTTTGGCTTCATATAATGTTCATAGGGGAAGCTAATAGCCAAACAGAAAAGTTAGGAAAAACAGCTATAGAAAACTTGTCAAACTATATATGTTGTATCGTACGTGGCAATCGTATAGTGTGTGTAGAAGTCAATGTAAGAACTCTGTAAGATAATTTCAGAAAATTAGAAGAAAGGAAAACTCCTTTTATGTTCCCTTTTGTTGAAGATCAAAAATAGATTGATATATGTCGAAACTACAATCTTTTGGGTATAAAAGTAAAGCAAATCGAGTGATCACATGAAAATTGAACGGAGGCAAAACTATTACGAATTGTCTAGTAGCGTCAAATTCAGAACCGGTGAATTCAATATTGGGTCCATCTTTTTAGATTTAAGGTTTGCTAATATACTACGTACCTGACTACTTTTACACAATTAAACACTTTAACAAGAAAAAAAGAAGAAAAAAAAAAACTGTAAGATATTTTGATCCACACATGGTAGGTCCGTCTCATTCATTCTCCTTAACGGATAAAGTGGCCTGTCTATCTATGCAACTTGGCCACGTGTTTACCGGCACACAAAAAATATCTCCCTATTCGTGTAATAAAAATTTAACAATCTCTTGTCTTTCGCTCGCGATCTTCCACAATCTTCCAATTTTCTGAGTTCCTTAAGCGTAAATGGCGAACAATGGACCAAACTGGGACGGATTGCTCAAATGGAGCCTCTCCCATTCCGATGGAGCTTCCTCCTCTCGCCTTTTGAGGTCCCTTAGCTTTTCTTACTCTATCTCTTTGCCATTCTTTTTTTTCTTGGTCGGATCTTACATTAGTAGACCCTAGTTTCGTTCAAGTTTTGTTATCTCTGATCAATTCCAATTTCGTCTCGGGTTCTTAATTGATTGTAATGCTCCTCTGTATTCTGAGATAGAAAGCCTTTGGATGATAAATCTTCAAGTTATTTCTCTTGTTCTTCGTGTTTCGATTTTTGGTTTGAAAAGTGTGTTCTTGTTAGTGAGGAAGATCGAAAATGGTTTATGGAAGCAATGCAAGGACATACAACCGATTCGATTTCGCGTATGAAACAGATATCTCAAATCATGAAAATGCCTGAACAAGTCTTGGAGTCTCAAGGAGTTACATCTGACGATCTTGAAGGTTCTTAACTTCGTTCCAGTGAAGATTATTCGATTATGCAAAAGGCCAAGCTGGATGGATTTTTTCAAAAAAAGTTGACTTTTATTTGGACAGGAATGTTGGATGAGCTGCAGGAACATGTGGAATCGATCGATTTGGCCAATGGTTTGTTCTTATCACATAACTATCTTTCGGTTTTTGTCTAAATTGTTTTTTTTTTTAAACATATTTTGGATCATCAAATAATGTACAGATCTTCACTCTATTGGAGGTTTGGTCCCTCTCCTTAGCTATCTCAAGAACTCCAATGCAAAGATTCGAGCAAAGTCAGCCGATGTTTTGACAACGGTTGTTCAAAACAATCCAAGAAGCCAGCAACTTGTTATGGAAGCAAATGGTTTCGAGCCTTTATTAACCAACTTTATTGCTGATCCCGACATTAGAGTCCGGACCAAGGCGCTCGGTGCTATATCTTGTAAGAGTTACTATTTATCACAAAATTTGCTCGAGGAACCACCCAAAGTTTCATTGTGTTTTTGTTGCTTTTGGCATTGTAGCTCTTATCCGTCATAACCAGCCTGGGATTACAGCTTTCCGTCTGGCAAATGGTTACGCTGGCTTGCGAGATGCTTTGGTCTCGGACACCACTAGATTCCAAAGGTAAAAACAAAGTCTCAAGCATATGTTCTGTCTCGGGTCTGGTTGGTTTATCTGGACGGATTATCGACTTTGATTAAGTCCATGTTATATACTTTCTTTCTGTTTCAGAAAAGCCTTAAACTTGATTCACTATCTTCTCCAAGAAAGCAACTCAGACTGTAAAATCGTTAGAGATCTTGGATTCGCTCGCATAATGATCCACCTAGCATCCAACCAAGACCTTGAGGTCCGAGAATTTGCCCTTCGTGGTCTCCTAGAGCTTGCCCGTGAAGAATCTGAGAGAAATCTTGACAGAGCGGATGTGAATCTAAGACAGCTTCTTGAGGAAAGAACAAGAAGAATCATTGCGATGTCGGACGAAGATCTTTGTGCAGCTAGAGAAGAAAGAGAGCTAGTGGATATCCTTTGGACTGTGTGTTATGATGAACCGTCCTGTCTAAGAGAGAGAGGTCTTGTTTATCTCCCGTGTGATGACGAGATGGCTCCTGATGTGATTAGAGACCGCTTCGAACCTCCTTTAAGGGCTTGGGCTGCAAGACGGCATGATGAAATGAATGAACCACCGGTTCCACTTCTTCTTGGTCCTGCACAGTGATCTCACAGCTCTAGCGTTTGATCCGATTTGTGTATCGACTACAAACCTTTCTATAAAGAGAAAAATTTGTGGAACACATATCTCTATTGAAATTGTAATAGAAAATCTTATATCTCCACACAGAGTCAAAATGCTATATACATGATCTGTGATGAGAATCAAGCGTTGCTAAGCTGAAACATCAATCACCTCCCACCAGAGAGTTGAGAATCAGCGATCGAAGTCGCGCCGGTAAAACCTTTAAACACGGAGGAAGAATATGACATCGCAATACCGCTAAAACCGTCTCGCCCTCCAAAAGTCATGCCGGTCCCCACCGACAAATCCAACGGCGTTAATTCCGGCAACGCCATGTCTCCTCTTAGATATTGTAGCACCTGCCTCATGCTCGGTCTAGCCCGAGGATCCGAATGCGAACACAACAGGCCGAGTTTCAAAACCATTTCAATCTCTTCAAGATCGTAACCATCAGACCCAAGATTCGGATCTTTCGCTTCCATTATGTTTCCTCTGAGCCACAAACCGAAAACCCATTCCACAAGCAAGAACGTGTCATCGTTCTCGCTATGGAGCTCGATGGGTCGTCTTCCGGAAACAACTTCTAGAAGAAACGCACCAAACGCATAGACATCGGTCGCGGTCGTGGCCCGTCCGGTCCGAGAATGTTCAGGTGCTAAGTATCCCAATGTTCCAACAACGTGAGTGGTCTGAGGATCCGACCCGTGATCATATAAACGGGCCAACCCGAAATCGCCGAGCCTGCCGTTGAAGTCGGCGTCTAAGAGAACATTGCTAGCTTTCACGTCACGGTGAATCACCACTTGTTCCCATTCCTCGTGAAGGTAGAACAATCCGGAAGCAACTCCTTTGATAATCTTAGATCTCTGTTTCCAATCTAAGGTCGTCTCTGGATTGTTGTATAGATACTTGTCTAAGCTTCCATTGGGCATGTAATCGTAGACCAGAAGAAGCTCTCCTCTCCGGCGACAATATCCCAAGAGAGGAACTAAATTCCGGTGACTCATCCGGCCGATACTCACGATCTCCGCCACGAACTCTTTCATACCTTGTTTGGAATCGTGCGAGACTCTCTTCACAGCGACTTCGAGCTTCGTCGTCGGAAGAATTCCTCTGTAGACCCGCCCGAACCCGCCGGATCCGAGAAGATCCTTCTCCTTAAACCCTTTTGTCGCGTGGTAGAGCTCCTTGAATCGGAATCGGTTCTTCCCGAACTCTGTTTCCCAGTCGTCGAGCTCTTCTTCGAACTTCTTCCTCCTCCTCACGATGTAGAAAGCGAGGAAGATCATGGAGAAGATCAGAAAAAGGGAAATCAAAGGCATGCCGATTTTGTAGAAATCGGAGATTCTTTTGGGCTCGAATCGAGGAAGCTTCGGGAGCTTGGATAACGAAAGCAACGGAGCTTCACCGTTAACCCGGAAACTCCACCCGAGGACGAAATGCTCCGAGAGAACGGAACCAGTCGCAGACGAGAATCCTACATACATATCTTGTAGAAGAATCGAGGAAAGATCTCTGACATATGAAACAAGTGGTTTTCTGGGTTTATCGGAATCGAACGGAGCCATCGTGACATCGATTCGATGGCTAAGATTATCGTAATCGATCCAAACTTGCATCCGTTTGCGACTAATCAAGCTCAGATTCCGAAACTCGTCTTTATCGTCCCAGTATCCTGCCGTCGAGAAATTAGCAGATCTCAAACCGTTGATGTCCATTCCGACGTGATTATCGTTTGGATCTCCGAACTCGCTGCTCTGGATTGTGTCGAACTCGACGGCGAAGACGTGATTCGTGTCGTTGCCGTTGTTGGCGATGTTGAAGAGACCGATGTATTGACTGGGAAGTGCAGAAGGAAGACCGAGCGTTGGAGCTACGACGAAGGCGATTCCATGGCCGCTTAGCGTTGGGATCT